AGCCAAAGCCTTCTTAGCGGATAAATTGCGAGTCTCCCGTGCCCTCAGCCTCATTTCGCCGCACACCGACCCTTGCCTCCTCAATTGCCTAGAAACATTTATCACCTCCGAAGAATACTGAAGTTCACTCAACCTTTTCGCCATGGCTGACGCATCTCAAACACCTGACATTGTGACCGATGTGCTCATTGTTGGCACAGGTCCATGCGGAGGTTCCCTCGCCGCCTTTCTGGCAGATTATGACATTTCTGTAACTATTATCAATAAGGAGCCGTACACAACTGCGGAGCCACGCGCCCACGTCACGAATATGGCAACATTGGAATGCTTTCGGGATATCGGCATTGAAGAGGAGTGCGTGGGGTATGGTACATCTTACTCTAAGATGCCATTTCGGCGCTACTGCCATTCCATTCTTGGCCAGGAGTATTTCCGGAGCCGGATTTGCAATCGAGTGCCGTAAACCATGGGCGAGTATGTTACTGCCAGTCCATGCGAAATGCAAGACATACCACAGAACGACCTAGAAGCTGTTCTTATCAAGCATGCATCTCAATCCGGAACCAAAGTCCGCTGGAACACTGAATACCTCTCCCATGAGGATTTGGGATCCCATGTGGTATCCACGTGCCGCGATCTGGAATCGAACAAGCTCATTCGGATTCAGTCTCGATTTATGTGTGGAGCAGATGGAGGAAGGTCAAAGCTCGTTTCCCGTATCGGAGCAGTCCTGACAGGTCCCCGAGAGGATCCCGAAACCTGCTACAGCATTACCTTCACAACTGACATGGCACCCATCATTGCTAAATGCCCTGCGTTTTTCAATTTTGCCTTCCGGCCAACCGAGGTTATCAACCCCATCTGCATGGCAGCGAGTATCCGTATCATCCGACCTTGGCATCAATGCCAAATAATTGCAATCCCTCTGCCAGGCACCCCAGTCCTGACAGACCTGAATTCGGTTGACTGGAAGGCACTACTCTTGGACTTAATCGGCGACTCAAACATGAAGATCAAAATCGATATCGTAACGAAATGGCGCGTGAACGAGGTCGTTGCCAACTATTATTCTAAGGGCAATGTGTAAGTTTGCGGTTCTTTTCTTTCATCTGTCCGAACTTTACTCTAGATGTTCTAGCCATCTTGCCAGGGATTTTAGGTGCGGAAGGGTAAAAAGGAGCAAGACGACCCTTGATTCCCTTCAGATTTCATGACTGCTTAAGTTCGTCCGTAGCTAACCAACTTTATGCCAGCTTCTGCCTGGGTGATGCATTTCACCGACATCCACCCGCCAATGGCTTGGGTTCCAATACCTCAGTTCAAGATTCGTATAACCTGGCATGGAAACTTGCGTATGTTCTCAAGGGGATCGCGAACCCAAAAATTCTGGATACCTACAACACCGAGCGGCAACCCGTTGGGCAACAGGTCGTCAAGCGCGCAAATGACTCGTGGCGAATTGATCTGAAATTGTTTGCGGCAATGGGTATGCATGAACCAGACCTCGAAAAAAGGAGAGCCATTGTCAAGGATATGGAAGAAGACAGCCAGCGTGGACGCGAATTGAGGACTGAGCTCCGCGAAGCTATTTCTCGAACTCGAGAACAGTTTGCTAGTGTGGGCTGTGAGATGAATCACCTTTATCAAAGCGATGCTATTTACATCGAAGACGAAGGGCCGGATTCTCGAACGCCCGTATATGCGGCCGAGAAAGATACTTACTACACGAAGGGTACTATTCCTGGGATGCGTTTACCTCATGCTTGGTTAGCTACCGAGGTATTGGACACTATCATCTCAACTCAGGATCTGGCTGGTCACGGGCGCTTTACGCTTTTCACGGGCATCGGTGGTAACGAAGTTTGGACACAAGCTGCCACTGCCGCTTCAGCCTCGATCCCGGGGTTGAAGATCGCCGTCTTCAGCATCGGCTGGGGCCAAGACTACCTCGACACAGACAACGAATGGGATAAGCTTAAGGGTGTCGACGAAGACGGTGCAGTGCTAGTCCGACCTGATAGATTTGTTTGCTGGAGAGCTCAGAAGCGGTTGGGAGAGAACGAGGCAGCTAGCAAGTTGACACTTGTTCTGAACAAAATCTTGAGTTGGGAATGAAGCTCAAGGGTAGGGTGAGAAAATGCGCCGATAAGAAGCAGAAGGGCCAAGCTTCGAAATCGATCGACCAATCGATTTGATCGATTCGATTAATCGATTCGATTTCGATTTCGATCGATCGATCAGAGCTGCCAGTCGATCGATATTGATCGATTACAAGCCCTGATCGATCGATTTGATCGTCGATCGGGTGGTCCATGTATAAATCGGTGAGGTGCAGGGTAGGCTGCCCTGGATTCTGCCTCTGTGTGGATCGCAACACATCGCATGTCCCACAAAGCACCCCTGGCAGGTAAGGTAAGGTAAGGATTTTATTTCGCCCGGGGGGACACACCCCAGAGGGCCTTTGCGCTAAGCTATTTTCGTTTCGTACAGTTCTTCCATAATCACCCGAAGCCCCAAAATTTCACTTTTACTAACTGGTCCAATCTGGTGTATATGTCGTGACAGGCCTGCTTGAAGGCCAATTTCCCCAAGTGTTCAGCATCCTATCCTCAGCAGCTGAAGCCCGGTCTGTCAAAATGAGACTGTATGATGTTAGTAGGGATTGATCTGCATAGTTAGTGTGCCTGAGGCTTCTAGTCCATGTTAAGCCTCCCCGTTGCAATGGCAAATTTGATCGTTGCCCGTACTGCCCGCATATCTGGTGCCCATTTGTCATCGTCAGACGCTGCCTTTCCTCCCAAGAAGAACGAGAGGTTTCCCATCTTTGTTTGTGGGCATTTCAGCACGCCTTCCCGTTGCTTTGTCCACTTTGTGCATCTGAATAGAAAATGCGCAACTGTCTCGGATGCTTGACCACATTCGCACATATCCGATTCCACTGCGCCGATGTTGTGCAGAAAGCTATTTAGTCTTGCCATTCCGGTGCGGAGCTGGACCAGCACCTCTGCTTCTTTCCTCTTCAGCAGGTCATATAGAGTACGGGTATGCTTGCCAGGTAGTGCCGTGTCTACCATCTTCGAGTATTTTCCGATTCTTCCCGGCGATGTCGTTGGTTGCCGCTGCTTGGTTATGGCTAGTCTTATCCTCGTGGATCTTGCTTGATACGGCCCCTGGCAGGTGCGATTGGTGGAGAGACGCTGCTGTTGAGTGCTTTCTAAGGAGGAAGGCGCCCCACCACCTTCCTTTTTAGGATTCTGTAGCTTCGTTGCCTCGTCACGTGAGGCTCTGTCTGATCGATATGATCGATCGATATCGATCGACTGAGAGGGCCGCTCGATCGATATCGATCGATTGAAGGCGATGATCGATATAAATCGATCGATCAGGGCTCGGAATCGATCTGTACGATCGATTTCCAACTCTGAGAAGGGCTAATTTTGAAGAAAAATGATAATGGGCCGACTGCCTCCTTTGGATGAGTTTTGCCCACCTAGCTTTGCTACTGTCCTCGCAGGGTACTTTATTGTTTATCTAGTTCTTCACTACTATATCCTTCTTTCTGTTAATTCTCTAGCCTGCGACCTATTTCCAGCTTATCCATTACCGCAGATCACGCTCTCTGTATAAGTTAATATCTGTAGTCACCCAGCTTCTTCTTCAACGTTCTCTGACATTGCTTTTCTTATTTATTACAACAACCAAAAATGTCATATCTAGAGAGCTAACATGGATCAAAGGCCGATGGGTTCTTCGCATATATTGCCGGGGAATGATCCTATCGAATCATTCTCTTTTTCTTCGTCTCCATTGAGACTTCAGGTGAGAGAAGTGGTAGTCATTCTCGCTGTGATGAGAAGCCTTCGGAACGACTGGATCTCCTAAAGACCCCGAATATGGGTGGCAGAGCCCTGGGAGGCTACCAGTCGCGGCCGCTGCCTCTTGAAGTTGAATACTTGCAGGAGCTGCCCTGAACAACAAGCCCGTCCAGGGAACCTTTTATTGTTCCAGCGGTCCAGGGGAAGCGGCTAGTTTAGCCTTCAGCTAGTGCGTGATGTCATAAGGGTGCGTCAAATGTGGAGAGACCGAGACGCAGTTTTCAGTTGCCGCCAGTAGGAAGTGTGCCCGACCAGTAGGAATATCATCGACTTACCGTAGACGGGGAGTGTCGTCGCGTTCGGGGAATGGCAGATCTCTGAGACATGGCGGGCTGAGAAGATCTCCAAACGTTCCCGAACATTCAATGCCCGTGTAATTGAATGAAACCACGAATCCCAACGTGTAGAGTTGTTCTGGATAAGCTCGAGCCTATCGAATTCGGCGAGATCTCCACCGATAATTATTGCAGCAAACTCCTCACGGCGTTGCGGGGTAAGCCTAATGTATCGTACGAGGTTGTGAAGCGCGACCTAAACACCCAAATCTTTTCCAGAGCTCTTCCACCTTCGTATAGTCTCCGCGTTGATAGTGCTTTTCGAGATTCGCTAGATACTTTTCACAGTCCCGACCCATGAGGAATGCCTGGCAGCAGAGATTGATAATATGGCCCAAGCAACGAAGCCGGCGATGGCGGCGTTGCTTTGGCGTCATCCATGGGCAGAGCTCCGTGAGTATGAACTCAACAGCGGTATTATTCGACGAGGCATTGTCTAGCATGAAGTACCCAATCTGATCTCCGCCAACACCATATTCTCTTAGCAAATCAAGAATAACTGACGCAATATCCTCGCCTGTGTGTTCGCCATACACACGTCGTATACCCAAGACGGTAGTTTGTCGCTTGCCGGTAGTGTCGATCCACATGGCGATAACCCCAAGAACAGCGTAAGGGTTTGGCGAAGTCCAGAGAAAGCTTTTATATGTAATACATAATAGATAAGTTTGCCTTGCCTGGTATGTATGCGCAAGCTATTCTTTGTGTTATAAGGGGATATAGTTTAATTGGTAAAACTGTGATTTTGCATATCATTATTTCGGGATCGATTCCTGATATCTCCAAATAAGCCTGTGAAGCTCAATTGGTAGAGCGAAATGCTGAAGTCATTTAGGTTGTAAGTTCGAGTCTTACCACAAGCACATAAAAAAGTTATATTCATGCTGTATTTTTTAGAAGCATGCGGCCATATTTAGGCTGCTTGCAGCGGGAAAATAAGAGCTATAATAAAAGCACTATAATTGAATTCATAGCGCTAGCGCACATATTTAATAAGTGCTTTATATGAGTACAGCCTTAAAATTTCCAGCTTTATATTCAGTAAGGGACTTTAGTATAATGGTGAATTGTAACGATCTGCACTTCGCTTTACACCTAATAGCCCGTCTGGCCAAAAGGTAAGTCTATAATCACAATGCTTGCAATTACAGGTGCAGATAACAGCTACTATAGGGCTCGGTCCGCTGTAACACTGTACGAGCCGTAACATGAATGCGTATGACTTTTAATCATTAAAATGTAGGTTCGGATCCTGCAAGTCCTATAGTAATGTATATTATGGTTATACTGCTGCTTACCTAAGGTATGTATGCTTCTATGAAAGCAATATGTATGCGCAAGCTATTAGGGGGTGCTATGAAATAGTGCTGTGAAATAAAGCTATGCTATAGGGATACTATAAAATACCGTATAAGTCTTGATACACAAATTAATAGGTATGTTGGAATTGGTAGACAGATCCGATTTAGGTTCGGATGGAATAAATGCCGTGCAAGTTCAAGTCTTGCTACCTATATTATATAATAATAATTTATTCTTTAAGTTATATATACCTTAGTTATAGAGTTATGTGTGTTCTGTCTTTTTCTTTTTCTGTATAGAAATACAGCCAGCAGCGGGAAAATAAGAGCTAAAGCTATCCTGTAGACCAATGGGTAGGTCATAAATTTTTGGTATTTAATATTGTGAGTTCGAATCTCTCCAGGATAATTAAATTCATAGCTTCAACCTTGCTACAAAAGCTATGTATGTGTTATGTAATAAGGTTATTAATTAAATAAATATATAAAATAAACACCCGGTCTAGCACTGTGCTTCTGTTAAGTACGTATTAACTGTCTAATATTAAAATAAAATATATAGGATACGCAAGCTATTAATAGGAGTATTTCAACATAAGGTAGATATAGCTCAATAGGTGGAGCAACTATTTGTGGCATAGTCGGTTCTCGGTTCGATTCCCCAAAGGAAATGGAGATTCTACTCCGCGCCTGCCGGAGTTCCTCCCTGAGCCGTTGCTTTTTCGACCGAAAGGCGTCCATAACCCAACTTCGGATGGTTTTCGCTGCCTTTGGGAGATGGCTGAGAAGTGCCGGATTCAAAAAGAATAGTAGTTCTCGGAAATACTGGTGTTCCAATTGAAAGAAAGCAATGTGGCAATACACGATCCAACGAACTAGGAGCTCTTTGAACTTTTCAATTGAGTCTTTCCAGAAGAAGGTATTGGTAGCAGCCGCGCTCTTCTGCTGCCCCAGTACAGACTTCCGTGTCGGACTATGTTTCTTGACACCACTCTGGGGATCAATCTGGTGCTTCTGTTCAAGATGGTTTCTCACTCCAGACGTGCCGTTGATAATAAACAGAGTTGGAAATCGATCGTATCGATCGATTTCCGAGGCCTGATCGATCGATTTATATCGATCGTCACCTTCAATCGATCGATATCGATCGAGCGGCCCTCTCAGTCGATCGATATCGATCGATCACTAATTGAAATCGATTCGATCGTCGATCGAATCGATCAAATCGATCAATGCTGGTCCTCATTATCCCTATCTACGGTGATCCTGCCCACCAATTGAAGTACTTGTCTCCAATTGTCCCCTTCAAGGAGACTAAGAGGAAGGGCTGGCTGATATATGCAGGGTTGGAAATCGATCGAGCGATCGATTTGATCGATTCGATTAATCGATTCGATTTCGATTTCGATCGTATCGATCGGACCTGTCAATCGATCGATATCGATCGATTAGAACCACCGCTCGATCGATATCGTATCGATCCAGCCCTCAATCGATCGATTTGATCGTCGATCGCCACATACATTGAAAGTGTCCCGGGTAGGTTGCGTAGGGCAGTTCATACGCGGCGGTTCCATCGCTGGACGCGTCTGCAAAAACACCCTTGTAAGCCACAAAGCAGCCACAACGGAACGTGCGGAACGGGATATGACTCAAAGGAAAGGGGCTGGGCAGTCAATTTGAGGGGGCAGAGGATTCTCTACTGTACCTTATCCTGCACCATGGTCTCCTTTTCTCTCCGCGCTTACAGGTCCGCCAAGGTATGGTCAATGGACTCTGACCGTTCGCAAACACAATCAACTTTGCCCGACGAGACTTCATAGATTCGACCCTTACTAGCCTCGCAACCTGGGATTTGACCTCTGGGCTGTTTGTGGGCATTTCCAATCGCCATGGACTCGTTTGATGACGAGATCGATGATATCTCCTCAACGCTGCCGCCTTCTGAGCCGTCAACCAGTTCAGCCTCAACGAACTATACACCCAGCAGGTTTCCGGATTATAACACTTGGACGACTGATAAATTCGAGCGGTTCCCTGGATTCACGATATGTCACGACTCTTCTCGAGAGCGGACATGGTGGTGGCAATTCGGATTCAGAATGAAGGACAACAGGTCTCAGCCGCACAAGATCGTATGGATTTGCGAGAGGTGTTTCCTTCGTAACAGGCTGAGGACTACACTTTACGTCTTTATCGCTTCAACTGCCGGGAGCATTGTCCGACATCTGAGAAAGGAGCACAAGGTCGTGGTTTGTGCCATCCCTCCGTGCCGTCTCTCCACGTCGTTCGATTATGCCTGCTAACTAGTCAGCCACCCTCTAGACAACGTGCAGGACCAGCTCCCAGGAGTGAAGGTTCAGACCGAAACATACTTGATATGCTTCACGCCGACCCAACAAACCCTCGAGATCAAACCCTTCTCGGCAATCTACAGACGTTATTCGATCCGAAGATGAATCAACTGCTGCTGCTCGACTGGCTTACATACCATAACCTCCCCTTCAATCTCGTAAACTCTGAGCGCTTCAAACGAGTCCTTCTCTACAACAACCCGTCTCTTCAGGAAGGGCAGATACCAACCGGCAAGACGCTTGTGAATCTGCTAACAAACGAATACAACCGAGCTCTTGGTCCAATTCAAATGCTGCTTCACAGAGCGAGAAGCATGATTCATTTTACTTTCGACGGCTGGACTTCCCGACAAAACATATCATTCCTTGGTATCAACGCCCACTTTATCGACCGAGATTGGAAACAATGGAGAATCCTTTTGGCTTTGCCAGCTCTCAGGAAGCGTCATACTGGGGCAGCACTTGCAGATGAAGTTGCAGATACAATATGCGCGTTTGGTCTTCAAGAGAGGTACAGACCCATAGTCAACACGTCTTGGGTCAGCAAACTGACAATGTTAACTGTTATTCGGGTTCAGAATCGGATACTACACGCTTGACAACGCTACGAATAATGATACGGCTATAGAAGCACTTGCCGCTGAGTTCGATTTCGACAAGGATGAGCGTCGCATTCGCTGTGCCCCTCATTTTCTGAACCTGGTAGTCAGGGCTATGATGTATGGCAGCAAAAGAGACAATTTTGTTGAGCTGCTTGCGCATTGGGGCGACAAGGACTTTATGACTGAAGAAGACGAGCAGCGCGAGTTGTCCGACGCCATCAATGAACTGAGGACGGACGACGACTTTGGCACGCCGAACGTGGAAGAAGACTTGGAGTTTGAGACAGCCCCAGAAGAGAGCCAAGATGAGTGCCAAGTCCCTGAGATCATCAACGCCGAGAAGGTGGACAAGTACCGCAAGTTTGGGCCATTTGGCAAGCTACACAATATTGGCATTGCTCTTCGAACGAGCAGTCAACTTCTAGAGGGCTTTTGTGAAGCTCAACGGCAAACCGCCCCGACCGAACCTGTCCTTGCGTGGGTTCAAAACGTCTGCACACGCTGGCAATCCGATGAGGCAATGGCCTCGCGCGCTCTGCTGAAACGTTCGGCCTTAAACAGGATGATTTCCATCATCGAGGAACGATGGGTCAGCCAAGGTGGCAAAGAACAAGACAGACCAGCGATATTGAAAGAAAAACTCTCTCTTGAGGAATGGAAGGTTGTTGCTGCGCTTCAGAAAATCCTTCAACCATTCAAGGTCGCGTCAAAGCAACTCCAGGGCGAGGGTATTGCTGGCAAACGCTCAACTTCAGGAGGGTTCGATGAGTACTTCCAGGTGGTGGAGATGCTTCTTGACCATCTCGAGCTGGCCGTCCAAGGGGTGATAATCGAAGAGAACGACGACCATATCATGGAAGAGGTTCACCTATTCGATGACATGGATGCGAAGACCCGTCGGCTGTTGAAGATTTACATCAAGCTCGGATGGAAGAAGCTGAACGACTACTACGGCAAGCTGACCTCTACCGCCTACGTAGCGGCAGTTGTATTCCACCCGTGTAAGAAATGGCGAACTCTAGAGCAACTTTGGAACCAGCTGCCGTCTCGTCAGACGTCAGAATGGAGGAAGACTTATGAGAGAAGCTTAAGAAGAGTCTGGGAAGAGAAGTACAAGAACATGGCTCATGAAGTAGCCTGTAATGCCGCTTCAGCAGCTGGGACTAGTAATGGCTTGGACTATATTGAGCGCCGACTGGCATTCAGTCGGTCATTGACTCGTCCTGACTCTCAAGGACTACAGAGTAAAGGACCAAAGCAGTCAGCCGCGTTGCCAGCACAGGACGAGCTTGATCAGTATCTATCAGAGCCACCGGTGGACAACACTGCATACAAAGCTGACCCAATTGCTTGGTGGAGGGACGTCGGCGTTGTGCGTTTTCCTCGGTTGTCTTATATGGCTGTTGACTTTCTTACTATCGCGTCGTCTTCAGCAGAAACGGAGAGAGATTTCAGCAGTTGCGGGAGGATGGTAACACCACTCAGATCTCGCCTGCGACGCCATATTGTGGCCATGGCTCAGTGCCTTCGTTCCTGGAGTAAAGCTGGCATATATCCAAGCTTGGAAATCGATCGTATCGATCGATTGACGACCCTCGATCGATCGATTTATATCGATCGTCACCATCAATCGATCGATATCGATCGATCAGCCTTCTCAGTCGATCGATATCGATCGATCGTTCTTTGCAATCGAATCGATCGACGATCGAATCGATCAAAGACAGTCTCACGTGACGACCTAATTAAGCTCCAGAATCCTAAAAAGGAAGGTGGTGGGGCGCCTTCCCTCTCAGAAAGTACTCAACAGCAGCGACGCTCCACCAATAGCACCTGCCAGGGGTGCTTTGTGGGACATGCAAACGGGTTGCGATCCACACAGAGGCAGAATCCGGGGCAGCCTACCCTGCACCTCACCGATTCATTTGTAGTCCACCCGATCGACGATCAAATCGATCGATTGAAGGTTAAATCGATACGATATCGATCGAGCAGTGGTTCTAATCGATCGATATCTATCGATTGACAGGTCCGATCGATACAATCGAAATCGAAATCGAATCGATTAATCGAATCGATCAAATCGATTGATCGATCGATTTCCAACCCTGGGTGGTGGAGGGGCGAACAGAGGTGCTAAGCTGAGAAAATTTTGACATTAAGGAGGCGCTAGCCAGTTTAGTCCATAACCCAGCCGCCTAGCGCCACCAATTTGGCCTATTTTTAGCCTATTTTTAGCCTTACTGGTATGACTTGGTATACCGGTAATACCATGGTATTGAGATTTCTTCAAACTGTTGGATCTGTTACGGTCAATTTGATCAAATGGATAGTGTTCAAAGCAGTGATGATGATGTTGATGATTGCTTGGGCCCTGTTGGGCTCCGCTGGTCAGAGAGGGGTTTTCTGACACCCCCTCTGACTAAGGTCATGATATCGATCTATCAGTTTCG